AAAACCATCGGAACAGGTCACCCTGTGACCTGAAGTTGGATCTGCCATGTCCATCCTTCATCAGCCAAACGTCTCCCGTCCCACTCCGTCCGCAAGATGAAAACCATCGGAACAGGTCACCGTGTGAAGTCTGATCGTCAACTGTAGACTTAAATTTCAAAGGAAGTAAAGGGCAGTGTAAGGCTTGGGCCTCCCGACAGCGGTCCGCTGTCATTAAAGCAGGTGCATCACCAGAGTTCTGCCTCACTCTCTCGTACGAGAACATGAACATGCGCTGATGGCTCCGCCGCAGGCAGCAATGGCAGATGGTGGTGTTCCTGCCTTCTGATCTGCGATTGCTGTGCATCCGTGATCGCGCTTGCTGGCGCTGTTTTGCAGCGACTCTTTCCCCCTCTGTCCAGCGAGGCTGTACTTGGCAAATTTGGCTGGGGCATGAGGATGATGGTCACCGTGGATGACTGCTTTCCGCTGTTGGCCGTTGCCATGTGCTGTAACTTCGCTCTCTCTGCTATGGATGAGCTTGGTCTCGACGTGAGCGTAGCTAGGGATGATGGACTTGGGAGTCTGGGGTGAGGTCACTGAGGTGTTTTTTCTGTAGAGGGATTGGCTAGCTATAAGTGGAGGCAAGGTGTAGGTATGGCCTCCAGGAGTCGTTGGAGTATAATTCGGATGTTGCAGTGGGAGTAATCCCCCTGATGAGTCTGCTGGCGGGGAGGACGAAATGCGTCGGCGAGTGACCCCGTGTGGGTGACACTGTGTGACACTGTGTGATTTTAGGTGACTCCTTGGATTATCGTCCTCTCTCTTTTGGGCTGCTTTTTTTCTCCGTGGATTATACAAATAATTGCTCTTTGAGTTTTGGTACGATCCGACAGTGTACTCTCCGTTTTCATGCTTGGGCAGTCTTGCCGGGCTGTCTTTCTTCTCTTTTCAGGGCTGCCTCTTTCGCCTGTTTTTCAGGCCGCCTGATATGAAAAAAGCAGGGCTCCCTAATACAGAGCAGGAAGATATCAGGGCTAATACCCGCCCTCTGCCTTGTACCTGTGCTTGCTTTTTTTTAGGAAAGGGGGGGGAGGTCTCTTGTTTCTTTTTTTTGTTTTAAGAAAGAAATATTGGTCAGGGCTTGTATTTAAGTGATAACAGCATCGCACAATTTATTGATTTATTTATTATTATTTTTTTTTGGGGGGGGGGGGAAAGTCGCACAATATTGGCTCTGCCAGACCCCTTTGTTACATGTTTTTTTTTTCTTTCGGGGGGGGTAACTTCAGTACAGTCACAAAAACAGTTTGAAATTACAGTTCAGGCATTCAACGGAACATAACACACCCCCATGCAACCCTACCTGACCGGAAAGCTACCTCGTATACATTGCCCGGAGTGCAGTTTGAAACTCTTTTTTGCCCAAAGTGTAAAATTTCAAACTTCTTTTTGACTCCCGCGTAGTTTCCCCTTCTTGTTTTGGTGCTGATAAGGAAAAAAAAAAAAAACTTTTTAGTAGTTTTTACATGTTACTATCGTCTTCCCCCGAACATAACGCACGCTGAAAATGAACGTATACAAGCCGTCTTTCCGGTCCGATGCAGTCAAAAATTCAAAATGAGGGTGCGTTGTGTTCGGGGGAAGACGGTAGTACTTACTACATAGGCTGCAAATGGTCAGTGCTGCCTCATGATGTTCTGCTGATGATTTGCTGTGGTTGGGGTTATACCGCAAGTACCTAGTAGACGTTTTTAGGCCTTTAACGCGGTCGCTGAATCGGTGCGCCACGTGGGTAGTAGACGTTTTTAGGCCTTTAACGCGGTCGCTGAATCGGTGCGCCACGTGGGTCCATGTGCATTTGCGTCAGACCCCCTTAAGCCTGGCCGGAGAGCCTGGCTTATCCCAGTGTGGGCCACAGCTGATGATGTGAGGGACGCTGGGCCCGGGGCAAGGTCCCACTTGCACGGATTACGAGATTCTGGCCGTTGATCTTTGCTATCTACGGTCAATATCCCTTCATTCGTGTAAGTGGGACCTAGCCCCCGGTCACCAGCTTACAATAAAAGTTGCGGACTTTCCTTTAGAAAAAGAAAAAAAGAAAAAAAGAAAAAGGTATCAAATGCTATAACCGTCATCACCGTGATAAAGCACCTGGTCATTATAGCCGTATTTGTGTAAATTGTCAGTCTAGATACACGGATAATGACTGACAGTGTACGATCTGTTCGGGGGATGGAGGTAGTCTGCTCAGCGACTGCAGGACGACGGAACACGAAACAGGAAGAGCAGGGAGATGAAGCATCTCTTCAGACAGGGGTTGATCTCAGATCTCTTACTAGTTCAAATGTACCATCACACTCTTTCAGGACACCTCTCCATATCAAAGAACCCAAGTTACTCAACTCCTCCTCCTCCTCCTCTTCCTCCTCCTCCTCCTCCTCCTTCTTCCTTCTCTCTCTCAGACAGCTACGAGACACCTCTCCACATCAAAGAACCC